TGGATCTGTGATTCTTGTAAAGAGTAAGGGGAAAGATTAATTGGTACAGCACTACACTGATAGTTACACCTTCCACGTATAACCCCCAGGGGCAGCAGCTTAATTTCATTTTGTTGCATGTTTCATATAGATCAGCTACTTGCACCCCCTACCAAAAAAAAACACCAAATTGCCAACTTCAATTTTTTAAAAACAGATTTGTAGAAGAAAATTAAAAGCATAAAACTTGGACTATATTTCACAGTCCTTGGGAACTGTTGATAAGTGTGGGTATAATAGTCACACCTCACAATGCCCTGCAAACTCTATTAAACGCTGTCCTTAAATCACATTCTCAGAAAACAAGATGTAAAAGTATAAAATGCAAGATTTGGTAACAGTCTAACCGTTTCTATTTATGGATAGCCCATGTTTCTGTGTGTGTGTATATACATTGTACATAGCTATATAAATGGTGCAGCAAGGATGGGGGTCACGGTAAAAATGGGCCACGACCAGTCTCTCCTCCCTAGCTTAAATGCAGCGTGGTTCTGGATATTGAATGCATGGTATTGTTTTAAAATAATTAATTAATGCATTTTAAAAGACATTTCTTTTGGAATCGGCTGTTAGTCCATTTCACAGTCCGGTGACATGGGTAGGTGCCTAAAGTGACTGTTAGCAGCCAGACAAGTTTGCAGGTTTTATGCTAAAACACAGGGACTCCCTAGCGGCAGATAAAACAGCGTGTATCTTTAATAGAACCTTCTGGTCTTCTCGAACCAAGAACTTTTGTTTTCAAACCCTTTTTCAGGCATTTAAAACCTTTTTTGTGGGTCTTTAAATCTCTAAATCTGTGATTTGTCGCAACGTTTATGCTATCTACACTGCAGCATGTCTAAAAGCTGGGGGGAAAACTGATTTTATCAAACCTAAACATAATCCATTCAAGATGCAAAGTTTGGGTTTAAGTGTAAATAATTTTCATGTTTTATTCAAATTTATTCTGTATAATGTCATAAAATTGCCCAATATTTTGACTGGCTGTAAAGAAAGATTTAAAATACAGATTTAATGCATAGTCAGAGAAATTGTAGAAAGACAAATTAGAATACTTACTGCTACAATGTTTGTTCACCGCAATAGATAAGTGCAGTCTGCCTACGGTCCAGGTTTTACGGTCATGTTTGATCTCAGAGTAGCTTTGAAGTAGAATTAGATAAAAATATAAGATGCTCCAGCTTGCAACATCTATAGAAACATAAACCTGGCTAGTGTGTTCACCTTTTCACACAAATTTCGACATTAAATATGGTCAAAGACAGACATTTTCATTTATAAGGGATGCGGTCATAAGCCTGTCGATTTCAGGACATTTTCAGTGACTTCTTAACCTATTGGTAATCATTGATATAACTGAAAATTTAATTTACAACAAGAACAATGTGTCTTATTTACACAGACTGATTTCTAAACACAGTTATTGTAGTTTAAAGACACATTACAGGGAGTATTATTGCTGTGGAGCTCTGTTACACACTCAGACACCTTACTGGGAGTATTATTGCTGTGGAGCTCTGTTATACACTCAGACACATTACTGGGAGTATTATTGCTGTGAAGCTCTGTTATACACTCAGACACATTACTGGGAGTATTATTGCTGTGGAGGTCTGTTATACATGCAGACACATTACTGGGAGTATTATTGCTGGGGAGCTCTGTTATACACAGACATATTACTGGGAGTAATATTGCTGTGGAGTTCTGTTATACACAGACACATTACTGGGAGCATTATTGCTGTGGAGCTCTGTTATACACTCAGACACATTACTGGGAGTATTATTGCTGTGGAGCTCTGTTATACATGCAGACACATTACTGGGAGTATTATTGTTGTGGAGCTCTGTTATACACTCAGACACATTACTGGGAGTATTATTGCTATGGAGCTCTGTTATACACTCAGACACATTACTGGGAGTATTATTGCTGTGGAGCTCTGTACTTATTATTGTGGAGCTCTGTTATACACTCAGACACATTACTGGGAGTATTATTGCTGTGGAGCTCTGTTATACACTCAGACACATTACTGGGAGTATTATTGCTGTGGAGCTCTGTTATACACTCAGACACATTACTGGGAGTATTATTGCTGTGGAGCTCTGTTATACACTCAGACACATTACTGGGAGTATTATTACTGTGGAGCTCTGTTATACACTCAGACACACCAACAATATGGAGCTCCTAGAAAGGAGGGAGATTAGGACAGAAAAGAGGGACATTAGTGCTGGTCAGGAGTTCATGGTGTGGGAAATAAAAATAAATAAAAAATGATAGTCTAGAATGAAATGTCCCTCTCATTCCTGGTCTGTAATGGTTCTGCCTCCAATTTCTGCTTGTATTAATTTAGCAAAAATAGCAGATTTGGCAATTTTTTGTAAATATATATATATATATATATATATATATATATATATATATATATATTTGTATCATCCTTAACATAATGCACTATGCTCAGCTGATTACAGTATTCTTGTGTTCCACAAACAGTGCTTTCTGTGGTCTGGGATTTTCAAGCAGTTTCTGATGCGTCCTACACCAAGAGCTTCAACGGTCACGAAACCAGAAAGATAGCTACAAAACAAAACGATTTCCTATCTGTCTATACTACGTACAGGCATACCTCGCTTTACACACACTCACTCTAAGTACACTAGCAAGTACAGACACACCCGCATGAGTACGTAAAGGTGCCTCGCGATTACAGACATTCCCGCGCCTCTTCTGTCCGTGAGTGAACAGGAAATGGAAGGTTCTGTTCTCGCCCGGAGCAGCTCTGTTCAGTGTCTTTGGGGCAAGAACTTTTCACACTTTCTGACATGGCACAGGTCAATCATCTCACATTTATAATGTCTTCTTCTAGCTGAACATATATATATTTTTTCTGCCCAAACATTGTCCATATTCTGCAATCGGCTGCCATCCAGTGAAAGGGTTTACCCTGCCATCTTCTATAACTATGACTTAGCAGCTTAGCTGCATTAGCCACAATACTAAGGATTCAAAGTTAAGCCATAAATGCTTAACGTGATGAAGAGGTGTTTCCAAACAAAGTGTGCAACTAAGCTGCTAACAAATACAAATTGGCAGTGTAATGACACAAAATGGCCCAGTGGGCAGGTTTATTTTACTTTTCCTCCCAGTTTAAGGTATCCAGATGAGTAAAACATTAAAGATAAATGGTACAATCTGGAATGAAATTTTTCTTTTTAAGGTTTGTTTTAACTGAATAAAAGCCCACTGGAAATCACTAAATAAATCACTGGAAATAAAATCACTGGAAATCTGCAGTTGCAGTGTCAGTTATGCCTGTAAGTTACTATTGCAATGCAGCACATACATTGGGAAGTGAGAAAAGGTATTGCTTCACATTAAGTACATTTTCGTTTTACATACATGGTATGCCTGTAATTCTCCGCTAAATTGCATTTGGAGGATGCATTTATTTTTTAATGTTGTAGTTTTATAGAGTGCCTTTAGGGCCCATCAAAAAAAATAAAAATTAAAAAAAAAGTTATACAATTATGGGTAATCCAGCTTTAATACAGTCCCCTCTCTGCGGTCCATTCTACCCTGCAGTCCATTCAGAATCTCTGCATGTGCTACAATCACCACACTCTACCAACCCAATCATTTCATCCACTGCTTCTCTATGAGAAGTGATAGTCGAGTTTGGCATCATTATGCTGTGCTTGATAACGAACACAGAAACTGCAAAGTCTTATACTGTAAAGGACAACATGTGGGCACCAAACCATTAAATCAAGACTCGATGCTGTTAGTGTCCCTTTAAGAAGTTATAGTTATGGTGGAGTGTAATTGAAAGCAGACACCCGAAGACAATTCAAATGACGTACACGTTTTTTCCTGTTTAGAGCATTGACCTTCTAGTTGTATTGCTTTAGCAAAGGAACACATAACAGACTAAGAACCTGCTATCTCTTCCCAGTAAGAAGCAACCATTTCTTATATAAATCTTGCAATAGTGAGCAGTCCGAGATTTAACAAGAGGTAAACGAATACCTACAGGTGGTAAAACATAATCATCCTCTAAACATGACTTCACATAACTAAAGCTGAACAAACGGTCAATAGATTGTGCTCACATTTCATGTAGCTATATACTTTGATCTTTTCATATCAATTTCAAATTTTAATACATTTTAAAGAACACAAATCAGTTTTGATACCCAATAAGTATACATACTACATTATGCATGAGGGGAAAAAAAAAAATAACAAAAAAAAAGGGAATTTTTTTTTTTGCTTATGACAATGCTAATTACAATTTCTACAGAATTAATTAATTTAGTTCTCCACCACAAATAAAACCTTATAGTTTTCTATACTTTTACACTATCACACTACATATTTTGTGTTTCATCATATAGATTGCTAAAAGAACACAGCTAAAGAAAAATAGGGTTAGTGCAACACAGTGATGTCCACAAACCTTATAACCAGGAGTCAGGAAACTGGCTCTGTACAATGAGAGTGCATGCATAACCCAATAATACGGATTATAGTACATAACATTATTCTGATTTCTCCTGTCTCACTCTCGATCTCTTCTTTAGAGCTCATTACAGAAATAAAGAGAGACTGACACTTATACCCAGAGCCAGATTCTTTACCAATATCCATAATAGAATATCTCCCTATTTTTATTTATGGGACAAACATTGTATTCCTGATTGAATGTTAATATTTTAGATTGTGTCTTCTAAATATTTTTAAAGCATGAATATGCCAATTATTATTTTTTTGTGTGTAAATTTACAAAATCTTAATTTTCACGCATCTCTGAATATTTATCTAATATTTATATTAAGATTGCGGCTTTCCAGCTAAGCATCCCATATTTCAAATAAACACAATGCTAACATTTTAACACAACGTGCTTAGTACTGAAGGGGTAAGAAAAGCAAATAAACAAAACACAGGAATCAAAATGTGTTTGTATTTATTAGTGTTTATTGCTAAACATTAGGCATCGGTCTCTCCGAATTCTTAGGTATCAGAACAGTTACATTTTATGGGCACATGTTTTGGGTATTGAATGCTTCCAGCCTCAAGGAGCACAGCGTAGAAAACACAATATTAACATAACTAAGAAATAAGGGAATTGTTCGTAAAGAGCCATTCCGTGACAACGACCTAAGCGTGGAGCAAACAGCAGGAAAATGATATTGCTTTCTATAATAATTGTTCCCTTTCGAGAACTCTGCCCATGAACTTTCTCATTATAAATATCCCTCCATCCTTTGTGGGATTGTTTTTAAAAAACAAAGCATTTTCCAAGGTTTGATATGAGTCTAACAAGGAAGAGATACAAAGAATCATCAATTGGAGGAAGGAGCAGCAGTACTGGGGAAAAGTTGTAAACGGGGAAAAAAAATCAGCAAGATCTCTGTTGATTTCCATGGTGACAGCTCCACTTCTAGAACTTTGCCTCAGAATAACTTTTGAAACAGAATTCCCAAATAATTTACTGTTATTTTAACTTGTAAAACATGCAATGGAAGATCCAAGCAGCATTTTGTTCAGATTGATAACACCCAAATTAAACGGTCATTATAAGGTATTAATATGTCTTTGAAGTAAAAAGGGTTGATTGAAGCACTGTTTGATGATGTGTGTTGTGATGATTCTTTGTGATATTCTTGATCCTTCTGGCCGACATCCTTCCTCCTATACGCTGTGGAGTTTGGTCTATAACTCCCCCTGGGGTGCACTGCTAGTCTTTAGCTTTCAGTAAAAGGTTTGGCAGATTCAGAGTAAGGTGATAAGGTTGAGAGACTCAGACTCTGTACCTGGAGCTGTGAATCTTTCTAACAGGACCATCACTGTCACAGGTGGAGCATTTTAGGTAAGAACGGCCTCCTGACGAGACAGGAGAAAGCAATCTCCAAGACCAGTAGAGCAGTGAGGGACATTGTAGTGTATTCATATCTTTAAACTAAGGATAAAAATTCAATTTTATAAATGGGGTAAGTCAAAAAATAAGTAACCACCCAAACACACCTCACCCTGTGCTCCCTGACATCACCTCCCAGCCAGTGGCCTATACTGTAGCTCTCTCTCAAATTGTTCGGCAGTCAGGGTTCCTTCAATGGCCTCACAGCCTGGGTTAAACACAGAGTAGGCACTCATTTCTCCTTGTTTTCGGTGCTGTGCTCCACGGGTTCCTTCATACAGCCAATAAAACATGGAAAGAACAAAATAAACCAGGCCAAACTCAAGCTCGACAAAAAGGCCAAACAAAACCAGCCAGAGCAGGAATTTTAGGAGCAAAATTACATAGAACGGTGGGCTCTGAGCAGGTGTAATTAAGGAATCCGACGCATCTTCATGGACTGATGGACTTCTTTCATGGACCTTGGAAATAAACAGACCAGTCATTCTTACTATTTATTAAACAATTCTGTTTGCGTTACAATCTAAAAGAATAAAACATAATCTCGTATCGTGCTTTTTCTAAATCACAAACATAGCATTTTCACTATATTTCACACCTGCACGCCCTTCCAATATTGCTTTCATTTTCTGTCTATCTTTGGTATCTGGTTGTTTAACCTTCTATCTGTCTCTATCCATCTCTTCAATTGTTAAATGCTGCAGAACAATAGGGAACAGCATTGGCTTCTCTAGAACAGGTTTTTTTTGGGGGTATTTTTTTATATATTATTAAGGCTGTATTTCTCGAACGCTACAATGAAATTAATGCTCAGTTTAGGAAGCTGTTAGAGGGACTTTCTTTTCTCATCTATGTAACCTAGTATCTCTATATATCGCCTCCTGTCTATTCTCCAATCCATTTATCTAACCACTCCAGACCTGGAGAGACACTGCTTGTAAACACGTTTCTGAAGGCATCTAAGGCTTTATTTAAAAGGCCAGTTGGCTCCTGTAAAGGCTTATATAGCCTTTATCGAATGACTTCACAGAACAGTTTAAGTTATATTCTTGGACACTATCTGAAATCCCTACATACAAGATATAATGGATTGAAATTACAATTTATCTGTTGAGCTATTTGGACAAATATTTCATGATACTCAGCCAGAGCATGATGAGAAATGCAGTTAATTTCGGCCGCCTCTAAAATTACATTGCAAACTTTATAACTTGCTAAGTCTGCCACCTAGTGACCAACTGCAGGCAATACAACAATTAAATTTTTAGCAGCCTGCTTGGATTAATTACAAACTTTGCATTAAAACACCAAAATTACTTTGAAATCCCTGATTAATGGAGCAAAACCAATACAGAAAGGCCACATTTACAGCTGCTTTAACTTAAAAAAAAAAAAAAAAAGAGAAATGGTAATTATGCATAGCGTTAAATTAAATGAAACTGAAATGGATCTTGGTTTAGGAATGAGTGATATTTGAAGACACAATGCTGCAGAAAAGCATTCGTTTAATGTATTTTCGTATTAGTAATTTAAAGCCAACGATGGCTTCAGTAGAAGCAATGCATCGAGAACAGATATTTAAAAATACAAGAACGCGCTCCAATAAACACGTTCCAATAAGTAACATCACTCCTGAAAGCTGCATATGAATGTTATTATTGGAACATATAGAGCAATGTGTAATAACTTTGTTTAAACCTTTAGGGCAATAGGTTAAACAAATCAAATGATACTATGAGAGCACAATATGCTATGAAGGGGTTAAACAAATCAAATGATACTATGAGAGCACAACATGCTATGAAGGGGTTAAACAAATCAAATGATACTATGAGAGCACAACATGCTATGAAGGGGTTAAACAAATCAAATGATACTATGAGAGCACAACATGCTATGAAGGGGTTAAACAAATCCAATGATACTATGAGAGCACAACATGCTATGAAGGGGTTAAACAAATCCAATGATACTATGAGAGCACAACATGCTATGAAGGGGTTAAACAAATCAAATTATACTATGAGAGCACAACATGCTATGAAGGGGTTAAACAAATCAAATGATACTATGAGAGCACAACATGCTATGAAGGGGTTAAACAAATCAAATGATACTATGAGAGCACAACATGCTATGAAGGGGTTAAACAAATCAAATGATACTATGAGAGCACAACATGCTATGAAGGGGTTAAACAAATCCAATGATACTATGAGAGCACAACATGCTATGAAGGGGTTAAACAAATCAAATGATACTATGAGAGCACAACATGCTATGAAGGGGTTAAACAAATCAAATTATACTATGAGAGCACAACATGCTATGAAGGGGTTAAACAAATCAAATGATACTATGAGAGCACAACATGCTATGAAGGGGTTAAACAAATCCAATTATACTATGAGAGCACAACATGCTATGAAGGGGTTAAACAAATCAAATTATACTATGAGAGCACAACATGCTATGAAGGGGTTAAACAAATCCAATGATACTATGAGAGCACAACATGCTATGAAGGGGTTAAACAAATCAAATGATACTATGAGAGCACAACATGCTATGAAGGGGTTAAACAAATCAAATGATACTATGAGAGCACAACATGCTATGAAGGGGTTAAACAAATCCAATTATACTATGAGAGCACAACATGCTATGAAGGGGTTAAACAAATCCAATTATACAATGAGAGCACAACATGCTATGAAGGGGTTAAACAAATCCAATTATACTATGAGAGCACAACATGCTATGAAGGGGTTAAACAAATCCAATGATACTATGAGAGCACAACATGCTATGAAGGGGTTAAACAAATCCAATGATACTATGAGAGCACAACATGCTATGAAGGGGATACTATGAGAGCACAACATGCTATGAAGGGGTTAAACAAATCCAATGATACTATGAGAGCACAACATGCTATGAAGGGGTTAAACAAATCCAATTATACTATGAGAGCACAACATGCTATGAAGGGGTTAAACAAATCAAATGATACTATGAGAGCACAACATGCTATGAAGGGGTTAAACAAATCCAATTATACTATGAGAGCACGTCACTGATCATGAATGGGTTAAGAGACGAACTAAATCATTTCCCTTCTAAACTTTGTAAAAATGGGTCTGGTTTATGTTGCAACTCAGACAGGAAATGTGAACTTCTCCAACAAACTGACCCAGTGCATGTAGCCCCCTGCCTGTCCATGTATACGCCATTTGCCCAGTGCAGGGGTATACAGGTCCCCACCTCCCCTGGCAGGCTCCTTGATAATATGAAGGGACTTTAGCCAGGCACACGCACAATTAACGCTACAGTTAAAGCATACGTTGAGCTATTGCTAATATAGCAGCAGCTCCATTTATGCGTTCTGATGAATAGAACCGTTGCAGAGTGTTGGAATGCATATTATCCATACTAAGCAGAGTTAGCAATAACTGAGAACATGGGAAGTCTGGGATCGGCTGACAGCGACTTCCAAAGCTGGGCAAAGCTTACTGCACACAAAATGCAACCAGTGGGGATGAGCAAGCAATGCAAGAACTTTTAATAAGCAACTTTCTTTATTAAAACCCTGAGCAGTTTAATTTTAAAGTTCATATTTGCATTTAATTAATCTATAGAATGTGTTAAGACAGTGTGTGGGTTACATTCCAACGTGAACACTGTGCAGGTGTAAGCTCATGCAGGCAGCACACATAACGACACAGGGTGCTGCAATTAAAATAAATAAATAAATGTTAATGGTGCTAAATGCACCTCGCATACTGGGGAGTCACGGATTGTTTTGCAGATTGCAGGAGAGCATTAGTACCCAGACTGGGCCAAACTAGCTGAGCAAGAAAACAGCTGAGTTGGACGATTTTTTTTTTTCAATCTGCAATTTCCAGGTTACATTTTACCCAACTCCCAGTTTAGCAGATAAACACCACAAGTTGGAATGTAAAGGTGGAGGTTAGAGACACCAGAGTCTAGGTTTTCCGTGCCTTTCTCTGGTCTTACCTGCATCCTTTGATTGTTTATTTGAGGATTAGGAGGCTCCACATTTTGCCTTTTTCTCCACCTCGAGTACAGACTCAGAATTTTCTCTTTCGCTGCCCGTCGGTAGCCCCTGCTAGCTGGTTCAGGTTCCCCAGATTTTGCAGTCCCTCCTTGGCCAGGTTCTTGTTGGACTTTCTGTTTCCTGGCCCTGTACTGTGCCAGCCTTTGCTCCATTCAATATGTCAGCCTCCTCTACCTGGAAGTAGAAGGGCAAAGGTGAGAACACACTAAAGGCAACAACCAATTCCAACGGTAGTGTTGCACCCAGGGAAACAAATAGTAGCTGCTAACACTTCCTGCAAAAAGTCATCTAATGTTTACATTTCCTTTATTGTATATTCTGTTTAATTTTGAATTTCTTATCTCCCGCTCTGTTAATAGCTTGCTAGACCCTGCAAGAGCTGCCTGTGATAAAAGTTAAAGTTAGAGACCAATCAATGAAATCTTTTAAAGTTCGTTGCTATCAAACTGAAACCATTTTGTTTTCATGCAGGCTGTGTCAGTCACAGCCATGGGAGGTGTGGTTAGGACTGTTCTAATGGGAGAGAATTGATCAGTGAGGCTGTAGAGGCATGGCGTACACACCCAAACTGCTTCTTTAAGTTAAAGTTGTTTAAATTTGAAATTCCCTTAGAGTTCTCATTGTAGTAAATAACCCTGAAACCGTATATGAGGCAGTATAAATCCATGCCAGATGATTTATACCCCTAAAAGGGTGCTCCATGTCTACCCTTCTAATTTGCCCTCATGTGTTTTGTTTTAGTGAGACGCTGCTAAATAAGCGATGGACTTAGTGGTTTCTTTAACCCCTTAAGGACGGCGGCATGCTATGTCGTTATGGGGGGACCCGGCTCTAAACGCCGGGGGGCGGCATAGCACATACGCGCCGTCCTTTCTACTTACCCGGTCGCCGGCAATCCCACACCAGCGATCGCGGTGTGGGGACTCACCTGGCAGGCCAGGAAGTCCCCCTCCATTCATTTCGGCCCCCCTGGGCCATGTGATCGTAAGGTCCTTGTGAGGACCTCGCATTTACATGGACGGCATAGCCGTCCATTGTAATGCCAGAAAGGGGGAGGGCCTGGAATGACAGGTACTCCCCCTGCTGCCTGTCAAAAAATAGATAAAAACAGTGTAAAATTAAATTATATATACACACATATATACACATACATAGTCCAAGTGTATTTTAATATTAATATATATATAATTATATATAAATATCAAAATACACGTAGAATGATATTGATTAAATATATTATCATTATATATATATTTAATATAAAATAAATATGTTAAAAAATTAAAAATAATAAAAATAAATAAAAATGTGGAAATTCGTTCTAACTGTATTTTAAAATGAATATATATATATATATATATATATATATATATATATATATATATATTGATATCAATATACATGTAGAACGAAATAATATATATTTATATACATAATTAATAATATTAATATAATTTTTTACACATATATATATATATACATATATATATATAATTTTACATAATTAGGTCATTTTATTAATTACAATTTGTGAGACCTGCCTGACAACCCAGGCCAAAAATCCACAGAATTTAATTTGCTAGCACTATATTTAACCCTGTAACTTTCCATGGCACCCTAAAACCTGTACATGGGGGGTACTGTTTTACTGAACGCTGAACACAAATATTAGTGTTTCATAACAGTAAAACATATCACAGCGATACGTTTTACTGTTTTGAAACACTAATATTTGTGTTCAGCAAAGTCTCCTGAGTATAACAGTACCCCCCATGTACAGGTTTTATGGTGTTTTTGAAAATTACAGGGTCAAATATCAGGCTTGATTTTCCTTTTTTTTTTACATTTAAATTTGCCAGATTGATTACGTTGCCTTTCAGACCGTATGGTAGCCCATAATGAGAATTACCCCCATGATGTTAAACCATTTGCAAAAGAAGACAACCCAAGGTATTGCAAATATTCAGTCTTTTTTAGTAGCCACTTAGTCACAAACACTGGCCAAAATTGGCATTCATAATTGCTTTTTGCATTTTTAACACACAAACAAATATAAACGCTAACTTTGGCCAGTGTTTGTGACCACATGGCTACTAAAAAAGCATACCCCATTTGCTATAACTTGGGTTGTCTACTTTTGCAAATGGTATGCCATTATGGGGGTAATTCTGATTATGGGCTACCACACGGTCTCAAAGGCAACGTAACCAATCTGGCGAATTTCAATGTGAAAAAACTGAAAAATGTAACATGCGATATTTGACCCTGTAACTTTCCAAAACACCATAAAACCTGTACAGAGGGGGTACTGTTTTACATGTGAGATTTATCGCTGAATACAAACATGTATTTTATTGCAGTAAAAGCAAACAGTACTATGACATTCACAGTTAGAATGTCACGTAGAACTAAAAATTTTAATTCTCATTTTTTTATATTTTATTCATATTAAATTATGTTTCATACATAAATATTTGATGTTAAATTAAAGCTCTGTTTCCTCTGAATAAAATGATATATAATAAGTGTGGGTGCACATAATACGAAAGAGGCGAATTACGCCTGAACAGACATATAGCGCAAATTCAAGTTTTTGTTTACGTTTTGTTTTGATCACACCGTGTACATTTGGCTCATGTCTTAAGGGGTTAATAATTATATTTATAGAGTATTTAACACTTGATGGGCCCTTATAGATCAGAATAATGGTGACTACAGGCGTCCTAATAACCCACGGGGTGGAATGCCAATTTAAACAACATAAAAATAAGCATTAAAGTAAATATATAACGCAATCTTTCCTTTATGACTTATTCATATAAATTGTACTCCATCCCCTTATACCGTAATAGCTATATGCAAACAAACATACGCTATCTAAGCTCGCAGTTTGTAAAAAATGTAAATGAAATGCAGACTTTCTGAGCCCTGAGCCATGCCAGCTACTGAAATTATCTCTTTATTGCTCTGAATATATCCAAACCGCTAATTAAAACACCCGCACAGGTTTCACAGGTGTGGTGATAAAATTAATATGATAGTGGAATGAGAATTCTAAAAAAGCTAAACTGTAAAATTATACACTTTTACCTAAAATTAAAATGTGTTCTACAGGTATGTGGGGGGGAAAAAAAACAACAAAATATGGACAGGGGGACGAGGGACAACATTGTTTGTCAAGCTAAGATAGATAGAAAACTAAATAAATAACAATAATCACCTTTAACCCCTTAGGGACCGGACTGTTTTGGTCATGTTGTACATTAAGGACCAGGGCTGTTTTAACACTTTTTTTTAGGAATTCAATACATACATTTTCGTGGAAGTTTAGGACCTATTGTCGGTGGAACACAGTTTACAAATGAGTGCATTATTCTATACAATCATAGTCTTGCCATGGTTTATGTCAAGATAGGTGGTGTGTACATATGCATTCAATGTTCCGTGTTACAGTTGTCGGGTTTCAGGCGGGAGCTGTGTGCCATCGGTTTGCTACTTATCGTTACCCTTGTCTGTGTTGGTCGTCAGGTGTGGCCTCTGTTAAGGCGCTGGTTATACATTATCTGGTTAGCAGTCAATGTGTATCAGTAGGTCGGTACGGTTACCTGATGATACCTTTATGTGTGTGCTATGCGTAGCTTATCAGCTTTTGTTGTCCACTGGTTAATGCTGTCAGAGTTTGTGTTGATCTTTTCAGTTGTGAGCCTGTCGCACATATCTGGCGAAGGTCTTTGTGTGTAGTTTTGGTTAGATAAATTGTACGTCCGCTACCTATCTATGAGCTGGGATTTTCCGGCTCATCTATTATGTAGATAAAGAAAGTGAGAGGGGGAATGGGGTATAGGTATGGAGGGAGGATGGGGGGGGGTAAGGGTTGGTAATAAGGGGAAGAAGAGAAGAGAGGAAGGGAGGAGGGCGTAAAGTCGGAGCCGCCCATTCCTGCGTCACCACCGCCCGGGTGGCCGGGGCTCGTGGGACGGGCATCGCTCCCCTCCTCACCCTGACGAGCCCGCCGACGTCCACCTGAGGCCATGAACCGCATCCACCTGCGTGTTTGGTGGCTCTGCCAAGTAGAGATGCGTGTATCGCTTCTGCTCCCTGGATTTCTTCTACTTTGCGTATCCATTCTTCCCTTTTCGGTGTTTCTGTTTTTTTCCAATATATGGGTATGAGTGTTTTGGCCGCATTCAATAGGTGTCGTAAGATCGATTTTTTTATATCTGGATATTGGCATCGGTGATATGTGGAGTAGAGCTAGTTCGGGCGACCATTCAGTCACCTCTCGTAGGATCTCACGTACCGCCGCTCTAATCATTTCCCAGTAAGGGATAATCATGCTGCATTCCCACCATTTGTGGATCGTAGTGCCCTGTTCAGTCAGACACCTCCAGCAGATTGGTGAGGTAGATGGGTATATTTTATGGAGGAGTGAGGGTGTGTTTTAACACTTTTGTGATGTTTGTGTTTAGCTGTAATTTTCCTCTCTCTCATTTACTGTTCCCATACAAATTATATATTGTTTTGTTTTTTTCAGGACAAGAAGGGCTTTTTTTTTACACACCATTATTTGTATCATGTCATATATTTTACTTTAAAAACAAAAAACAAATATATGGTGAAAAACTTTTAAAAAAATTTAAAGTTTAAATTTTGGACCTCTACTTGAAAAATCTTTTAATCTACAAAAGCTAATGAAAAAAAACCTGCTAAATAGATTCAAACTTTTGTCCTGAGTTTAAAGACACTGAGTGTTTACCTGCTTTTTTTTGCTTTTTTGTGTGCAAGTTATAGGGCTATAAGTACAAGTAGATCATTGCTGTTTTAAAATATATATTTTTAAAATGTATCAATAGTGACATAGTAACACTTATCTGTCAAATCTCTGAATCACACCTCACATGTACATATTTTTTTAAAGTAGACAACCCAGGGTATTCAATATGAGGTATGTCTAGCCCTTTTTAGTAGCCACTTAGTCACAAACACTGGCCAAAGTTAGCATTTATATTTGTTTTTTGTGTTAAAAATGCAAAAAACAATTATGAACGCTAACTTTGACCAGTGTTTGTGACTAAGTAGCTACTAAAAAAGACTGAACATGCCCCATTTGCAATACATTGTGTTGTCTTCTTTTGCAAATTGTTTGCCATCATGAGGGTAATTTTCATTCCTGGGCTACCATACGCTCTCAAAGGCAACTTAACCAACCTGGCAAATTTAAATGTAAAAAAACAAAACAAACAAAAAAAAAAAAAAAACAGGAAAATCAAGCCTTATATTTT